CATGGCAAACCAGGGGGGTTGGCAACCCTACCTGGAGATCTCCCGCTTTTACAGCTGATCTCCAGCTGACAGAGATCAGCTCCCCTGGAGAACATGGCTGCTTTGAAGGGTGGGCTCTGTGGCATTGGACCCTGCTGGGGCCCCTCCCCTCCCCAAACCCCGCCCTCTCCTGGGTCCACCCCCCCCAAAGTCTCCAGGTATTTTCCAACTCAGACCTGGCAACCCTAGGTATAATAGCTAAACTAGGGGTCCCCAGCCATTTTTTAGCCTGCAGGCACCTTTGGGATTCTGACACGGGGTGGTGGGCGGAGGCCACAAAATGGCTGCCAGCCAAGCTACAGCCAGACTCAAAATGGCCGCCGCCGCTTCCCTTCCGTCCCACAGTGAAGGTCCGCGTGCCGTGGCAGCAACTGATGCCAAAGCGATATTTCTAAAAATATTGCGGGGCAGGGCTGACACCAGCCACATTCTAAAAGCACGGGGTGAGCACCAGAAAAGGGATTTGGGGGCACCACCCTGGGAATTGCTGAGCTATATCCATTGTAGGGTTGCCAAGTCGTTTTTCTTCTGTGGCGTGGGGCTCCCGGATGGCGTCTCCTGCGTTTTCCCCTCAAATGGCTGTGGCCTCGCCCCCAGCGTGCCCGGCGTCATATCCGGATGACGTGCACACCGGGGTGGGGTTTTCCCCGGGCCCGATTCCGTGGCGTCAGAAATCAGGCCTCCAAAGCGGGGGGAAATCTGCCCCCCGGGGGGACTTGGCAGCCCTAATCCATTGTTGTGTACTACTATGGAACACTGCTATGTACTACTACTATGGAACACATCTGCGCTAGCTTGAGAGCCAGTTTGGTGTCGTGGTTAAGTGCGCGGACTCTAATCTGGGAGAACCGGGTTTGATTCCCCACTCCTCCACTTGCACCTGGCTGGATGACCTTGGGCAAGCCATAGTTCTGATAAGAGCTGTCCTTGAAAAAGAGCCGTTTCTGTAGAGCTCTCTCAGCCCCACCTACAGGGTGTCTGTTGTGGGGAGGGGAAGGGAAAGGAGTTTGTAAGCCGCTAGAGTTTGTAAGCCCCTCTGAGACACCTTTGGGTAGTGAAGGGCGGGGTATGAATCCAATCTCTTCTCTTCTTCTCTTCTTCTTCTTCACCATGCGGTCTAGCACACCTTCGGGTACAAGAACAATAGAGGATTCGGATCCTAGGGTAGACCAATTGGAGTGCCTGGATTGTAGAGTAGACCTATGAAGGACTACTCCACTGTAAATAGCCCATCACGGGTGTGGGGTATGTGTTGGGTGTGGGGTACTGCAGGAATATAAGTTTGTCTTTCGTTTGCCTACTTAATAAAGCATGAGCTGGTGACTACTCAAGGCGTCCGAACTCAGTACTTTACGTCCATGGAGGCAGGGGAGGAAAACTGTGGATGGTGGGTGTAAAGGATCGTGAACTGCCAGAGTTAAAGCTTCTGACATTTCTGCATGGAACTCCAAAGTACAAGATAAGCACGGGAGCCATTCGCAGTGCCTATAAATCTATTGTTAAATTCTCACTCAGCAATTATTTACGCTACAATAAATCTTTCAGCCTTTTGTGCTGTCACTAAACTTCCTTCCCTTTAGAAGGAAGGCGAGTAGCTGTAACAACAATAAAAATGCATTCTAGCACGGAATTTTGATCCAAGGCGATGATTCAGTAAGGGTTCTATATTTAATATTAAATACATTTAAAAGAAAAAAGAAATCACATCCCGGAGTAATGTGGCTTATTTCCCATCAAGTAAGGTAGGTTATTTCCCATGAACTCAGGCTGTCTTGGAACTAGTGAGGTGAAGTGCCATGGGAAAAAAACACACCTTGTTTGGGGATTGGGTTCTGTCCTCTGTGGTGTGTGTAAAGCAACTGAGCTGCTTTTGTCTGTCTATCTATCTATCATCTATCTATCTATCTATCTATCTATCTATCTATCTATCATCTATCTATTCTATCTATTCTATCTATCCCATCTATTCCATCTATTCTATCTATTCTATCTATTCTATCTATTCTATCTAATCTATCTAATCTATCTAATCTATTTTATCTATCTATCTATCTACGTATCTATCTACCTATGCAGGGGTCATTTCGTAGAAAAAGAGGTGCAGGAGCTCATTAGCATAACTCATTTGCATATGCCACACCCCCTGTCATCACCGGAAGTGTGTCAGAAGGCAACACCCGCCGCTCAGGCTCCTATGGTTTTGTGTGCTAACGTTTGGGGGGGGGGGGGTGCAGATCTGTCCTCGCAGAGGAGGGAGAGCTTGTACCTGAATAAAACTTGGTCTTAAAGGTGCCACTGGACTGTTTTGGGCTGGGGGAGCTCTGCAACTTACCTGGCTGCTTCTTGCTCTGACTGAGGGCTGCTGGGAGCAGGGGGTGGGGCTTGTTGCATGTGCCCGCCCCCTGGGCTCTTTACTGCCGGAGCTCCCCTCCTGTGTGCTCCTGCAGGGAATGACCCATCCATCCATCCATCCATCCATCCATCCGTCCGTCCGTCCGTCCATATCTATCTATCTATCTATCTATCTATCTATCTATCTATCTATCTATCTATCTACCTACCTACCTACCTATCTACCTATCACCTGGTCCCACTTTCGAAAAACCTTTGGTAGGCACCAGGGAAGGTGTTGGCAGGCCCCATGGCGCCCCCAGGCACCCCATTGGGGATCCCTGGCTTAGGAGATGCTGCCATCTCAGGCACCTTGATGCCAGTTTGGTGTACTGGTTAGAGGCGCAGACTCTAATCTGGGAGAACCGGGTTTGATTTCCCCACTCCGCCACTTGCAGTTGCTGGTGTGACCTTGGGTCAGTCACAAGTTCTCTTGGGGCTGTTCTCTCAAGAGTAGTTCTCTCAGAGCTCTCTCAGCCCCACCTACCTCACAGGGTGTCTGTTGTGGGGAGGGGAAGGGAAAGGAGTTTGTAAGACTCCCAGTAAAGGGTGGGAGTATGCATCCAATCTCCTCCTCCTCCTCCTCCTTCCCTAGCCGATGGCTTCTTGTTTTGTGTTTTCAGATATACGAAGAGATAGGTCTTCATCTAATCCTGATAGGCATGGAGATGTGGACAGAACGAGATTTTTCAACAGTTAGCCAGAATAAGCTGGCCAAAACCTTGGAAAGGTTTTATAACTATGCCATTTTTGAACTTCAGCGCCACGTCCATTTTGACCACGCCGCTATATACACGTAAGAATCTTTCTCTTTTTTCCCCATTGAGAATGCATGACCTCTGTTTTTCCTGGTGCGCCCCGGATCCCTGGGTTACTTCCGAGTGGTCTTTGTGTATTTGGCAACCAGAGGAGTTAAAAGGTAAAGGTTCCCTTGCTCGAAAGCCAGTCGAATCCGACTCTAGGGTTGCGGTGCTCATCTCTGTTTCAAAGCCGAAGAGCCAGCGCTGTCCGAAGACGTTTCCATGGTCATGTGGCCAGCATGACTAAACACCAAGGCGCATGGAACGCTGTGAGCTTTCCACCGAAGTGGTACCTATTTATCTACTTGCAATTTCTTGCTTTCGAACTGCTAGGTTGGCAGGAGCTGGAACTGGAGACGGGAGCTCACTCTGTCCTGCAGCACACTCCGGTCTTGAACTGCTGAACTACGGACCTTCCACAGCCTGCAGGTCAACGTCTTAACCACTTGAGCCACCGCAGCTCCTGGCTTTGGCAACCAGAGGTGTTACATCTGCCTAAAATCTGAACCTTGTAGCATCAGGGGGCCAAAAGGAACTGCAGTCGTCCGGTCTTGTTGCAGGGAACAGAACGCCAGACTAAAGTGTCTTCATGAATAAACAGTAATGGCTGTCATAAGGAGAAGAGAGACTTGTCCATCTTCATGAGCATGGGGCAGAGCAACTCCGAGTCCAACTGTTCTTATTGCTGCTTCTGAGAAGGAAAGGAGGGCCCATGGCTCAGTGGTAGAGCATCCCCCGGCATCTCCAGCTCAAAGGATCAGGTGGTAGGTGATGTGGAATAACTCTGAGACCACTGGAGAACTGTGAGCAGATGGCTCAGAGACAACATTTATATACACTTAGAGACGCTGAACTGCAGGCTGTGGAAGGTCCGTAGTTCAGCAGTTCGAGACCCGAGTGTGCCGCATGACGGAGTGAGCTCCCATCTCTAGATCCAGTTCCTGCCGACCTAGCAGTTCGAAAGCAAGAAATTGCAAGTAGATAAATAGGTACCGCTTCGGTGGGAAGGTCACAGCGTTCCGTGCACCTCGGTGTTTAGTCATGCCGGCCACATGACTACGGAAACGTCTTCGGACAGCACTGGCTCTTCGGCTTTGAAACGGAGATGAGCACCGCAACCTTAGAGTCGGATTCGACTGGCTTTCGAGCAAGGGAACCTTTACCTTTACCTAGTGATGTAACGGCCCCTAAATTCCAGGCATGCTGAGAAGAAGAAGAGGAGGAGGAGGAGATTGGATTTATACCCTGCCTTTCACTACCCGAAGGAGTCTCAGAGCGGCTTACAGACTCCTTTCCCTTCCCCTCCCCACAACAGACACCCTCTGCAAGGTAGGCGGGGCTGACAGAGCTCTCTTGGGAAGAAGAAGAGGAGATTGGATTTATACCCCGCCCTTCACTACCCGAAGGAGTCTCAGAGCGGCTTACAGACTCCTTTCCCTTCCCCTCCCCACAACAGACACCCTGTGAGGTAGGCGGGGCTGAGAGACCTCTGAGAGAACTGTGACTGACCCAAGGTCACCCAGCTGGCTGCACGTGGAGGAGGAGTGGGAAATCAAACAGTCCGGAATGGGTTTAAGCACAGATTAGAAACACGATCTGAGATTAATTTAAGAATGTAAGAAAAGTTATTTATTAACTTTATCCTTTCTGGTTTGATGTCTTTAACTTTGGTTGTACACCGCCCAGAGCCTTGTCTATACAGGGATCGGGTGAGTCATAAATTTAAAATATAAATAAATAAATAAACTAAAATAAATACATTATCCACTACACCAAGCTGTCACTCACTCCAACAGTTTTAATGTTCCAGTGTTTTCATGTTCATTGCCCTGGGGAAGCTACGTCAGTTGTAGAATCTTAGAATCAAAGAGTTGGAAGGAGCAGGGGTCATTTCATAGAAAAAGAGGTGTAGGAGCTCATTTGCATAACTCATTTGCATATGCTACACCCCCTGACCTCACCGGAAGTGTGTCAGAAGGCAACACACACCGCTCAGGCTCCACTGGGCTGTTTTGAATGGCTAGCTATTGGGGGGGGGGGGAAACTGTCCTGGCAGAGGAGGGAGAGCTTGTACCTGAATAAAACTTAAAGGTGCCACTGGACTGTTTTAGACCGGGGGGCCAGAGGGGGGCTCTGCAACTTACCTGGCTGCTTCTTGCTCTGACTGAGGGCTGCTGGGAGCAGGGGGCGGGGCTTGTTGCATGTGCCCGCCTCCTGGGCTCTTTACTGCCAGAGCTCCGCTCCTGTGCGCTCCTGCAGGAAATGACCCCTGGGAAGGAGCCATCCATCCATCTAGTCTAACCCCCCTGCTCAATGCAGGATCAGTGCAGGATCAGTGCAGAGGAAAAGTGTCGTACATTTTTTTGAAAACAAATAAAAATACATGCAAACCTCCATGGCACACCAGTGCCACATGGCACTACGCAGTCCCAAAGGGATTCAGTAGCCATCAGGGGTCATTTCCTACGGGAGCGCACAGGAGTGGAGCTCCAGCAGTAAGGAGCCATGGGGGCGGGTGCATGCAACAAGCCCCACCCCCTGCTCCCAGCAGGCCTCCAGCAGAACAAGCACCAGGTAAGTTGCAGAGCCCCCCCCATCCTGCCTTCAGGTACAAGCTCTCCCTCCTCTGTGAGGACAGATCTGCCGGACCCCCCCCCCCCAATAGCTAGCAATCCAAAACAGCCCAGTGGAGCCTGAGCAGTGGGTGTTGCCTTCCGACATACTTCCGGTGAGGTCAGGGGGTGTGGCATATGCAAATGAGTTATGCTAATGAGCTCCTGCACCTCTTTTTCTACGCAGTGACCCTTGGTAGCCATTATTTCCTTAACTGTCTGCAGCCATGCAATTCATGATTTCTTTTTCTGTGTTGCAGGCGTCTGGGTGAGGAAGGCTCCTTTGGGAAGTCTTGGGGAGAACGTCTTTGTCTTTCCCATCATGTCTCTGTTTCCGCTGTCAAAGTAAGTGGTGCCCTGCGTTCGGTGCGGCCGCCCCAGTTCTTTCATTTACGTTTGCCAGCGACTGCTTCCGCTGTGTTAGAGATTTTTTTTAGCCTTCCTGTTGTTGAAAGGACTGACTCAGCAGGCCTGGACATTGGGGAGGCATTACATAACTCTAAGGGCGTATAGGTGTTATCTCCTTGAATGGGATGCCTCTCTGTTTTAATCTGGAAGCTGCCCTCTGACCTCTCCTCTTTCTCTCTCCCTCTGTCCTCTCCCCCTCTGCACATGGCCTTCCATGGAGACACAGGTCTCTGCAGGTCTCTCCTATAAAGACAGTGTCCTCTTTCTCTCTCCCTCTGTCCTCTCCCTCTCTGCACATGGCCTTCCATGGAGACACAGGTCTCTGCAGGTCTCTCCTATAAAGACAGTGTCCTCTTTCTCTCTCCCTCTGTCCTCTCTCTCTCTGCACATGGCCTTCCATGGAGATACAGGTCTCTGCAGGTCTCTCCTATAAAGACAGTGTCCTCTTTCTCTCTCCCTCTGTCCTCTCCCTCTCTCTACATGGCCTTCCATGGAGATACAGGTCTCTGCAGGTCTCTCCTATAAAGACAGTGTCCTCTTTCTCTCTCCCTCTGTCCTCTCCCCCTCTGCACATGGCCTTCCATGGAGACACAGGTCTCTGCAGGTCTCTCCTATAAAGACAGTGTCCTCTTTCTCTCTCCCTCTGTCCTCTCCCTCTCTGCACATGGCCTTCCATGGAGACACAGGTCTCTGCAGGTCTCTCCTATAAAGACAGTGTCCTCTTTCTCTCTCCCTCTGTCCTCTCCCTCTCTGCACATGGCCTTCCATGGAGACACAGGTCTCTGCAGGTGTCTCCTATAAAGACAGTGCCCTCATACTCCCACATGCGTGATGCCGGGTAAGCTGGCGATTTGGGACAGGGGAAAGTCCTCTTTAGATTAGGCTTCCCTCTCTTCCTTTGACTACAACCTGAATGTGAACTGGATCTAATTGAATAAATGAGCGGTCAGGTTAAAACGGATAAAAGGAAGTCCTTCTTCAACCAAAGAGTTATGAACACATGGAATTCACTGCCACAGGAAGTGGTGGCGGCTACAAGCATGGACGGCTTCAAGAGGGAATTAGATAAGCATATGGAGCAGAGGTCCATCAGTGGCTATCAGCCACAAGGTATAGATAGGGGCTCTCAGTCTGGGGCAAGGGATGCTCTGTCTTCTTGGTGCTTGGGGGGGGGTCAACAGTGGGAGTGCTTCTAATGTCCTGGCCCCACTGTTGGACCTCCTGATGGCACCTGGTATTTCTGGCCACTGTGTGACACAGAGTGTTAGACTGGATGGGCCTTTGGCCTGATCCAACATTGGCATCTCTTATGTTCTTATGTTCTTATGTTCTTATGTAAATTTAAGTTTATACCTTTTTTGCAATATGCCTCTTGGGAGGTTTATTTACCACACTCAGTATCACTGGGCAAAACTGGGCAAAACTTTGCCGTATTAACCAAATAACCCACTATTTCATTCATCATTCATAGAATCATTCATTCATCCATCGGTGTATCACACTGCTGTGTATTGAGCCTAAGCCTTTCCTCTAGCTGTACCTAGAATGGGCTGAGCTTGCTTCTCTAGAACAATAGCTCGCCTGGATCCAGGAACAAACCAATAGATAAGGAGTCCAATGTGAATAGAAGAGGAGGAGGAGGAGGAGGAGATTGGATTTATACCCCACCCTTCACTACCCAAAGGTGTCTCAGAGCGGCTTACAGACTCCTTTGCCTTCCCCTCCCTACAACAGACACCCTGTGAGGTAGGCGGGGCTGAGAGAACCCTTGACAGAAACGGCTCTTTTTTAAGAACAGCTCTTATCAGAACTGTGGCTTGCCCAAGGTCATCCAGCCAGGTGCAAGTGGAGGAGTGGGGGAATCAAACCCGGTTCTCCCATAATCTGAGTCCACGCACTTAACCACTACACCATACTGGCTCTCAGCCTATCACTGGGAGTGGGTGGGTGTTGGGTGTGGCATTTTGCGTGCTTATATGCAGGGCTCCAGCACTGCCAGCTTCGTCTTGTAGTTTTGCTGAAATCACTTAATAAACCAGAGCCGATCACTGCCATGCGTCTAGAGCCCAGTATCTAACACACACCTAGCTTGGCTCTTAGTTTGAGCAAAATGTTTCTACCAATGATGACAGTTGTGGCAGAGTGATATTGTGGTATCGTGTCACATTTTATTCTTGCCTTTCCTGGCTGTGGGGTGTTAGAAACCATTCTGAGCCTTCACCTCCGCCTAGAAAGCGGGGGGGGGGGGGACAGGAAAGTAGTGGGAATCAAAAAGTTTGGCTGCTCTGACAAACGAGTGTGGCTGGGGTGTTTGTCTAGGACCTGAGAGACCTGGGTTCAAATGTCGACTGTGCCATGAGGCTTGCTGGGCGACCTTGGGCCAGTCACCTTCGCTCAGCCTCCCCTGGCGTTTGATGGCATTGTAGATTGTCATAGCTACTAAAAGTGGCACCTAGAAGAGGGTGGAGAGCAGGGGAGGGAGAGAGTGGAGCGGGACACAGTGGGAGGAAACGGGTCAGAGGAGGAGTGGGATTTCCCCTCTCCCGTGTGTCTTTGTCGATCCCCCCCCTTTATATTGTTGAAAATATGTGTGTTGCAAGGTCTAAATTCAGTCATTATAGGGTTAATGTGTTTACCTTGTGTGCTGTTGTTTCGACTGAACGGGAAGGGAACCTGGCACAAAGCCAATGGGGAGAAAGCCCCGGGAAATTGAAGCCTACTTACTCACGATCATTGGTTAATGCATTCAGTTGATTGCTTCCTAGAGGTCAAGAGGAAAGGAAGAATCTCCATTACCAACTTACCAACTGGTCTGTCTGTTGTTGCAAACATGTAGTCTTAAGTGTTTGTTGTTTTGTAGATTTTCCCATGTACCCTTCCCTTTTGGAAGTAAAGATTTTCACACAGAAAGAAAATGCCTCCTCTCCAGTGAACGAAGACCCATTGCAACCTCCAAATATTTAACTATTCGTTACCAAATTTTCCAACATATATTACGTATTTAATATGAAAATCAAATTAACAGAAACCAGTTGGAGCACTGCATGTATTCCAAAGAGTAGTACGTCACAATGTTTTGAGTGTAACCCCTTCCTGGGTTGTCTTCCTGTATGCAGGCTTCACCGTCCACAACCCGCAGCGGGGTGTCTGCCGCACATGAGCTGGGCCATTCCCTGGGCTTTCTCCACGACGACGTTCTAGGGGGTGACATGACAGGCTGTGACTGCAACTGCGTCTCCAAGCCGGGACGGTGCATCATGTACTCAGGCGTTGTGTAAGTAGCACTTGATTTTCACTTTCCTTTCCTTTCCTTTTTGCTTTAACTCCTGCTGTTTGAGCCCTTGGGTGCAAGAGATAAATCATGTTGATGAGGTTTTTGCTCAGAGCTGTAATCAGCGCCCATCCACAAAATCATTTACTCGGAAGTAAGGTATGTTTATTTCAGTTGGATGAAGTGATGGCCACAGACATAGGTGGCTTTAAAGGGCATAAATGAAGTGAATGGCTTTGCTTTAGGGTTGCCAAATCGGCCCGGGGGGCGGGGAATCCCCCGCTTTGGAGGGCCGATTTCCGATGCAACGGAAATCGGCCCCGGGGGAAACCCCGCCCCCCCCGAAGCTGCGTCACCAGACCCTTTAAAGCCCTACATGGCCAGGGTCCGACATACCTGAGGGACCGCCTTTCCTCACATATACCCCAGAGAGCACTGCGGTCGGGATCTCAGAACTGCCTGGCCCTCCCAGGCCCCAAGGAGGCCAGGCTTGCTGCAACCAGGGCCAGGGCTTTCTCGCTGGGGGCTCCATACTGGTGGAATGAGCTCCCGGAAGAGATCAGGGCCCTGCGGGACCTTTCACAGTTCCGCGGGGCCTGTAAGACGGAGCTCTTCCGCCAGGCCTTTGGAGCCGCCACCATTAACAACCAGTAACACCTCCACCGCCAAAAAAATTAATACCTACTCTGGCGGAGCCCTGGCCCATAGGTTCCTCAAACACAGCCCGTGCCAATGACCTGAGAAAGCCGCAGAAGGCAGAAGACCCAATTCGGGTAATGAGGATTGTTGCTAGCACTTTATCTTTTTGGAATTTTAATATCATATTTATTAATGTATGTGATTTTATTATGATTGTTTCGTGCGAATTTTATTGTTGTAAGCCGCCCTGAGCCGGTCTCGGCCGGGAGGGAGGGATAAAAATTTAATAATAATAAAATAAAATAAATAAATAACATTGTTTTGTTTTGTTTTTTTAATCTGTTGCAGAGAGTGCCACAGGTTGAGTAACTGCAGCAGAAAGGCCTATTATGAACTATTACGAAAGCCAGGGAAAAGCTGCTTGCGGAACCTGCCGAAGGAAGCGGTCGTGAAAAAGGAGTGCGGAAACAGTGTCGTGGAAGGCGACGAAGAGTGCGACTGCGGCTTGGTTCAGGTTAGAGAAGGTGCCGGGGGAGGGTCAGCTATGCAGGGGTCTTCATCGGAGGTTTTGTAGTCTTCGAAACATCGTGAAGGACCATGAGTCTAGTTCTGCCCTCAAGTGTGAAGGGCAGCCCCACCCCCAAGCTCCCCACAGTGGAAATAACACTAGAAATTGTACCTATCGCTGTTATCCAGCGAGAGAGTGGGCTTTTCTGCTTTCTCATTTGGTGGAGAGCCAGTTTGGTGTCATGGTTAAGTGTGTGGACTCTAATCTGGGAGAACCGGGTTTGATTCCCCACTCCTCCACATGCAGCTGCTGGATGACCCTTGGGCACGCCATAGTTCTCTCGGAGCTGTTCTTGAAAAAGAGCAGTTTCTGTCAGAGCTCTCTCAGCCCCACCGACCTCACAGGGTGTCTTTTGTGGGGAGGGGAAGGGGAAGGAGTTTGTAAGCCACTCTGAGACTCCTTTGGATAGTGAAGGACGGGGTATAAATCCAGTCTCCTCTTCTTCCTCTTCCTTGTGTGCTTCTGTTGTTTCCACATGTGTTTGTTTGGCTCCCTCTAGTGGTCCATTCGATATTGTATCACTTGATCTCCAGCATTTTTCCCTGTAGATTTAAACTGCAGGTTTCTATGCCAGACATAAATCAATATGATATCGATAAGAGGGGTCTGGTCTGTATGTCTCTCTTTTTCTAGGAATCTGAAGGAGCATCACCCTCGACTTCCTCTAGTTCTGGCATTCCAGTTGAGCTAGTAAGTTGATGAAATCTATGAACCGCCTTGCTGGATCAGGTGAAAGTCAATCTACTCAGACCTTCACCACGAGCTGGCGGATTGGCATTTCTGCAATCTGAACATGGGCTTTCTCTATCACTTGTGTCCTGCATAACAATACCTCAAGGCATGCAGCCTCTGAATATGGAGGCTCACTTGCCTCGAAAGCCCCTTACTGGGGTTGCCATAAGTCGGCTGTGACTTGACGGCACTTTACACAAACACAAATTGCTGTTTCTTGGGGTTGGTTTTTTTCCTGTTCTACTCTTGTTTTCCTCCCTCTAGCCGTCAATTTGATATCAAACAGATTTATAAAAAGGTAAAGGTTCCCTTGCTCGAAAGCCAGTCGAGTCCGACTCTAGGGTTGCGGTGCTCATCTCCATTTCAAAGCCAAAGAGCCAGCGCTGTCTGAAGACGTCTCCGTGGTCATGTGGCTGGCATGACTAAACACCAAGGCGCATGGAACACTGTTACCTTCCCACTGAAACGGTCCCTATTTATCTACTTGCAATTTCTTGCTTTCGAACGGCTAGGTTGGCAGGAGCTGGAACTAGAGACGGGAGCTCACTCCGTCATGCGGCACACTCAGGTCTCGAACTGCTGAACTACCGCCCTTCCACAGCCTGCAGTTCAGTGTCTTAACCACTTGAGCCACCGCAGCTCCAATAAAGACACATACAAGGTCACAATTTAGACTGAAAAACTCCAGTTAGGATGGCCAATGAATAAAAACTGAATCAGTCCAATGTTTTTAAATTTCTAGAACAGCAAATAGAGACTGAATATTTATCTCCTAATTTATTACTTAAGAACACAAGAACATAAGAGAAGCCAAATGTTGGATCAGGCCAATGGCCCATCCAGTCCAACACTCTGTGTCACACAGTGGCCAAAAATACGAGGTGCCATCAGGAGGTCCAGCGGTGGGGCCAGGACACTAGAAGCCCTCCCACTGTTGACCCCCCAAAGCACCAAGAAGACAGAGTGTCACTTGCCCCAGACTGAGAGTCCCTATCTATACCTTGTGGCGAATAGCCACCGATGGACCTCTGCTCCATATGCTTATCTAATTCCCTCTTGAAGCTGTCCATGCTTGTAGCCACCACCACCTCTTGTGGCAGTGAATTCCATGTGTTAGTCACTCTTTGGGTGAAGAAGGACTTCCTTTTATCTGCTCTAACCCGACCGCTCAGCAATTTCATGGAGTGCCCACGAGTTCTTGTCTTGTGAGAAAGGGAGAAAAGGACTTCTTTCTCGACCTGCTCTATCCCATGCATAATCTTATAAACCTCGATCATGTCACCCCTCAGCCATCGTTTCTCCAAGCTAAAGAGCCCCAAGCGTTTTGACCTTTCTTCAAAGGGAAAGTGTTCTGACCCTTTTATCGTTCTAGTTGCCCTTTTCTGCACTTCATTAAGAATCCAGCAATTTCTTGGTGGACAATAGGAGTTAATTGGCAGTTTCTTTACTTTTTCATATAAGAAAACTGTGTGCCGTGTATGCATAAGCAAAATTATGCCTCCCCCCAAAACCCATACTCCAACACACTCATCCAAAGGGCTAGACTGGGGGTCTCCGACATGGTGGCCAGGGGCATCATAGCACCCATTGACACTGGCACATTCATCCAAAGACCTGAACAAAGCCCGGGCAACTGTCCTGCATTTTTTCCCCTACACAGATGGGTTGTGTAGAACTAATAAGAAAGCAGTTCAGAGGGTGGCCTGTTGTCCTTATTGAAAGGCAAATGTGTAGGAAGGACGTGCGATTCCATTGCTTTGTCTTTGAATAGGGCTCCAGTGGGCTGGTTTCCAAGACTGCATTGCCTGGTGGCAGCACCACAGAGCTCAGAGAACTAAATGTAAGTCTTTCGTTTATTTATGTAAAATAAACAAATTTTATAAATAAATGAATTTTAAATTTTTTTAAAAAAATTCTACCTTCTAGGAGCTCAAGGCAGCTTCCCATGGAAATAATAACAAATAACAATAAAACAGGTGAAAAGCATAAAACCCACTAGCTGCTCTTACGGACTCCTGCTTTCTGCTCTCCATGTGGAGAAAGGTGGTGAACTGGTCCAAAGTGCCATCAGACTAGTTGTCTCTGCAGCGGACGCGACTAGCAGTGGGGCGGGAAGAAGTCCCGAGAGCGACTGGTGCTTCAGTCTCTGGTCGGATGGCCAACTCTAGGTTGTAAAATACCTGGGTTGTAAAATACCTGGGGAGGGGCCTCAGCAGGATGCAACGCCACAGAGTCCACCTTCCAGAGCAGCCATTTTCTCCAGGGGAACAGAGCTCGGTCTTATCTGGGGAAGTCCTCGGCCTCTCTGCTCTGTTGTTTGCCCTCCAGAGGAACTGGCGGGCCACTGTGTGAGACAGGATGCTGGACTGGATGGACCCTCACTGGTCTGATCCAGCGGGGCTCTTCTGAGGTTCTTCTCAGGGGAAGGCCTCGGCCTCTCTGCCCTGTTGTTGGCCCTCCAGAGGAACTGGTTGGCCCCTGTGTGAGAGAGGATGCTGGACTAGATGGACCCTCACTGGTCTGACCCAGCAGGGCTCTTCTGAGGTTCTTATCTGGGGATGGCCTCGGCCTCTGTGCCCTGTTGTTGGCCCTCCAGAGGAACTGGTTGGCCCCTGTGTGAGACAGGATGCTGGACTAGATGGACCCTTACTGGTCTGATCCTGCAGGGCTCTTTTGTGGTTTTTAAGTCACAGCTGACATATGGTTTTCAAGGCAAGAGATTAATGGAGGTGCTCTGCCATTGCCTGCCTCCGTGTAGCGACCCTGGACTTCCTTGGTGGTCTCCCATCCGAGTGCTAACCAGGGGCCGACCCTGCTTAGCTTCCAAGATCTGCAAGATTGGGCTAGGCTGGGCCATCCAGGCCGAGGCAAGTGCCATTTAAGGGAGACCAACTAGGGCAAAGCCATCCTGATGGGGGATACCGGTCTCCAAGGCCCTCCAGGGGGTTAATTTCCATGGCGTTCCTTGACAGGAGTGCCAAAGGAACGGCTGCTGCCGATCAAATTGCACAATGAAGCCGGGCGCAGACTGCTTTTATGGACTCTGCTGTAAGCAATGCAAGGTAAGAGAAACGTTGGTTTTCCATGGATCTGTCTATGTTTTTAAACTTAAAGACCGTGCAGTTGCTCTCTGGCCTTTACTAAGCAAACTCCTAACTGAGCTGACGAGAACAAACCCTTACGTTGTCGTCAGCCAGGGGTCATTTCCTGCAGGAGTGCACAGGAGCGGAGCTCCGGCATTAAAGAGCCCAGGGGGCGGGCACCAATGTTCCCTCTAAGCTGTGCAGTCTTGTGAGCGAAAATTCTACTTCGTGAGCCGCTGGCATTAAAGTTGTGAGTGAGCGATTTGGCTACTGCATAAATTAGTTTCCTCTGGAGCCATCCAGAGCCATAATACAAAGACATATAAAAACCTAGTAGAGGCCAAAATAAAGCCTCATAAAATGTTCCAAGTTACAAATACACACAAAAAAGGACAGTGTATGACTCGACGCGTTTCAGCTCACAAGAGCCTTCTTCAGAGGTCAAATAGTGCAAAATACAACAAGCAACAGAGTCCCTGTAACACATGTGAGGCAATCAACGATAAATAAAATAGGGTCCAAATTGGAATGTTCCAATATGGAATTGAATGACACACCAAAACGTTTCTATGTGGGGCCACAAATATATCTGGCCTCGTGTCAGAAGTAGCTGTATATACTGGAACTGATATGTTTTTAACTTTTGCCCCCCCCCCCCCCAAGAAGTTTTCTAAACTTCCTAGGGAGGTCTTTTTCTCTCTTCAAATAATCCAGACAGATTAAACAAGAGGGAACTAATTATGGAGCCCCGCACTTTTTCATTAAAAACCACAGTAAATATGAGCTACCAATGCGGGTTTCCTTGGTCTACATGGGCAGAGTCTTTCGTGGTGGGGAACATTTGCAAATCTCCCAGACAGGACCGCTGACGGGAGGACATTAAATCGAACGAGCATGAAGGCTCGACATAGCTGAGAGGGAATAAGCTGTGAGAAGCAAGCAGCAGTGGCCCAACAGCCGCTGCGAACAGTTCTTACCGAGGCCCTTGAATCGTTTCCCTCAACAGCTGGCAGAGGAAGGAACGCTTTGCAGAGAAGCGGCTACAGACTGTGACCTCCCAGAATACTGTACCGGGGCTTCCGCCGACTGCCCGCTGGATGTGCATAAGCAAGACGGGGAGCGATGCGGCGCCGGCGACACTTGTTTCATGGGGCAGTGCAGCGACCTCTCCCAGCACTGCAGAGAAATCTTCGGCAAAGGCAAGACTAACGTTATTTATTGCACGACGCTTGCTTGGGCAAATCCTACAGATATCAGCCAATTCCTAGAAGTGCCTCTTCAGATCAGAGGTCTGGGTGGTCCTAAGAACATAAGAGAAGACATATTGGATCGGGCCCATGGCCCATCCAGTCCAACACTCTGTATCAGAGGGGAGGGGTCCTTTTGTAGAAAAAGAAGTTCAGGCGCTCATTAGCATGACTCATTAGCATGACTCATTTGCATAGGCCACACCCCCTGACATCACCGGAAGTGTATCAGAAGGCAACACCCACCACTCAGGCTCCGCTGGACTGTTTTGGTTTGCTAGTTAT